CTTGCACGGGGGGTCCCCGGCCAACAAGTTGCGGCATTTTACGTGCGACCACTTGGTTGGTGGCACATCGACTTCGCGTCACAATCGCCTTTCACAATCGAATTTTTCTACGTTCTTTACTGTTCGGTAATGCGGGAGAAAACGAGAGATGCCTCTTTCTTTCTCTTCCTCTTTTTTTCTGTAACAGTCTTTATTTTTACACCGGTGCATTCTTGGCGCCATCGCCCATCCACGGATCTTCCGTCTAGCGGGATATTTTCTCTCTCTCTCTCTGCTCTCTCTCTCTCTCAAAACTCAAACATAATAAAAGTTTCTCATAAATCCGGTGTCCGAGAGTTCGATACGGTGTCCGTTTATACGAGCTCGTCAAGTTTGAGATCGTAGATCCGTAAACTTGGTTTCCCTGCACGGAGTATCTGAGATATCGTATCGAGTCAAAGCCTTTAATAAATTCGGAATCGATTTCTGCTTAACGGAAATTTCATAGAAGGCCATATGAATCGCTATCTTCCAATATTACTTCTGTATCTTGTTAATTTAATCTAGAATTGTTTCGTTCATGTAAAATAGAACCAGATATTAATTGAAAAGTAAAAATTTATATTTTATCTATTATATAAAAACAATTGTCCTGACTGATTGACTGACTTATCAACGTCCAGTCCAAACCCCTAAACCAAAAAACATGAAATTCGGGGAGTGTATTCCTTCCATGATGTAAGCATCCAGTAAAAAGGGATTTTTAAAAATTCGACCCCTAACGGGATGAAAAAGGGTAGAATGTGTTTTCACGGATTCTCTCCTTAATATCTCTTAGACCCGATGAGATATTGACTTGGCTTTTACTTACAACGGTTACCCATACAAAAAACATAATTCAGGATTTTGCCTTAATCAACCTCTAAAGGGACAAATCTAGATTCAGGGGTGAATTATATAGAATTTTTTGCAAATTGTAGTAAAGCACGGGTATATCAAACTATAGTAAATAATATAACGGTTATTTTGTATTAGGAAAAATTGAATAGAAGTTATTAAAAGTATATACAACGTTTAAAACTAAATCTTGTAGTAAACAATTTTCATATCTATTAAATTCATTTATATTTCTATTATTTAAAATCAAAAGAGCACAGAATTATTTTTTATATAAAGAATTGAAATACTTTCTTACTTTTTATATTATAAAACGATATGTGTTAATGGTTTATTGATTTCTTTTGCAAGTCTTGGTTTGCTCATTGTAATTTCGGGTGCATGATAAAACTCTTAATTTCTTGTAACTTAATTTATTAACTGTGCCATAATACTTTAGTGATGAATATTATGTATTTATGTATACAGCGCGCGGAAATATTTGTTTCTTGTATCAATAGGTTGTAGCAGTATTGATGAAGTATAAAAGCCATTAATCGTTCGTCCTACTTTAGTTTAGTTCTTTTTGGAACACGTTAAGTTACTTCATAACCAGCGTAAAATTGTTACAAACTTTTATAATACACATATAAAACATGAAATATAAATTAAAATATATGACAGAATACTTATATTGTAAATAGAAGTATTATAGGTAGAATATATAGCTCTGCACATTATATGAATGTTTCTAGAAAAAGCTGAATATGCCATCTTTTATCGCGATATTTATAGTTTTTATTAGTGACAATTAATTCTCGAATTATATTCTGTTAATTTGAAAATGAACACAATTCATATTTCAATAGCAAAATAAGTGCAGTAATTTGCTTTGAACGCCTTGGAATTATTAATAAAAATTTCGCTTTTTAATTAATTAAACAAAGAAATATTACGCATATTATTTCCTTAGTCGACAAAGAAGAGAGCAACTTATTTTAAATATGTAACTATGTCAATTAAAAGAAACTATGGAACTTGTCTCTAAAAGAACTGTTGAATTCAACGCTCTGTTATTTATTTGGACTCTTGCAATGCAAAACTTGTCAGCAATTTATGTTTTTCAGTCACGCACGCTTCGAATCGACGTTTTATTAAACGTGGACTCTGTTATTCGTGAAAAAAAGAACGCAAAATTGTGTATGGATGTCCTGCATATCGAAAATCCCGCAGAAAATGGTTTCTCGGGGAGGGAGAGAAAACGATCTCTACATGAAATATTCTTATCATAATAATGATACTAGCCATTACCCTGTAGAATATCAAACGAGTTATTAGCGCGGCATCCAGGGAATTGTTCAGTTCGCGGCGAGGGCGGGTACGCGTTGCTCCAGGAAGCACCGCCGCCGTCTAGTAATTTCGCGTGGTGCAGCCGTTTATCAAGTCAATTTGCTGTAATGGTCGTTAGGAGCACGACAGGTTTGATAAGGGCTTAAATCGATGACGAGGTGGGAGTTCGTTGGCTCCCAGGGAGAGAGGCGGGTACGGGGTTCTTATTACGGTCTTTAGGCGCGATAACCCTGAACTTTAATGCTCGCCTGCCAGCTAACACAGAAACGCGAGCCTAGGCCTCCCGGCCTGTTCTCCACGTGGTTTCCGCGAGCGACGCGGCGAAAACGGGCCGGGTTAAAAATAATTTCGACGTTAAAAAAGAAATGCATCCGGGGGAGCTCGCGACTTCGAGTATCGCCTCATGCAAATTCATGAGATTGACTCCGCGGGGTCGTCGTCCTTTCGTCTGTCTCGGATGCTTCGCTCCTTCCTCTTTTCTCTTGCGCCGGTTTTGTTTGGCTGCTGTTATTAGATTATCTCTTCGCCATTATAACCGATCGCTCTTCGTCCCGCTGTCACTGCTTCGTTCTTCTTCCGTGACCACTTCTCTTGTTTCTTTTCTATATCATTCCGTCGAGGACCGCACCTACTGTCTATTTTCGAGCGGTGTCTATGTATAGAGTTTCGCTCTCATGAGACCGAGACGCGTCAGGAATATCACGCGGTATGCTGGTTAGGTCCTACTTCTCGCTTTATCTTTCTGTCTCTCTCTCTTGTTTTGTCGTCTCTCCCTTGTGTTCCTTTTTCTCTTTGTTTACTTAGTTTACGCCGACGCGTATCTCTTCTTGTCTCTACCTTTAAACAGATTTGTAAAGGAAGATTCACAAGAAGAGCGTTACGTGGATGCTATAAAATAGTTGCGAAGTAGACTGATAGGGAAATTACACGTGCTAAACTCTGACACGCCGTTGGAAGATTGTCTTTCTTAAAAGTAACTTCTGAAAAGATGCCCTATATGATAAGTTGATCTAATAGAATGTGCAAAGTAAAATATTCTCTGAAAAACTAATATCTTTTTTTTATATAGCTCTTGATATTGTAACGAGTGTTATAAATTATTAATTTTTAACGTAGATAACTTTAACATTAACTTTTGCAAATAATATTAACTGAGTTGTCATTTTTATTTTAATATTAAATTTGAATGCGTTTTTTATAATCTGGAAATTTACTTTTATTATTTCATCTTCTTTATAAGTTTTATATTTCTGGCAATAAGAACGTTTTATTCTCTCGGGAAAAGCGAAGAATCTATAATATAAGAGAGATATAAGAAGGATGAAATATGCTGTCATATAAAATGTAGGTACCGATAATCGTACGTAAGAAAGGTATTATCATCTCTCATATAATATCGAAATTATATGCTATTTCTCCATTTAAGATGAACCACGAGTACCGACAAATTTTCTTGTGTAATATTAGAAAAATTCCCAGAATATAATATTCCAAAGTATATATATAAGTAAATTAATTAATATTTTATTTGATCGATTTGTTAATCAATTTTTCGCAAAATATCGCGTTTTTTATCCGATTATTTAATTTGTCTCAATAATTTAACAGAATTAGGTATCAAACCTCGAGAGCTGTTGTTTTAGGTATCTTCTTAACGCAGGGATAATGAGGATCGCCGATATGTTAATGGATTCGCAGCACATTCAATCCTGTATACGGACGCTCATCGATCTTGTGTTTGACGCATGCATCGCGTACTTACATGCATACGATCATTGAGCTGGCCGTAGCCATTGTTTACAATAATTATGTACAGGCGTGGCTGCGCAGCTCGCAATTTTGTGTCTGTGCAATGCATACCTAAATATACTTCGTGTACGAGAAACAGACTCTCGAATGGTTGGGATACAACCGGACCTGGATGACGCGTGTATGTGCGTTTCCTATGCGCCGGCAGACCGTTTACCGGATTTCGATTGCTCGGTGCAATATTATTTTCCGATACACGTCATGTGCTACGTTTTATATAACATAAGTCATAATTTGCGGTACCGCGAATATTTTTGATTAAACAGTGGATGGGTTATTGAATTGCCACCACAATTGATGACTGCGCAAATTACTTCGGTCATTTAATTAACCGCTTGTCTTCGGTGACGATGGTGATCAGTACTAGTCGGCGTCTAACGAGGGGTTTAATCAGGTCATTAGCGCGTTTGTTCGCGCGAAAATTTTGCGCAACTTTAAAGTCGTTACATAGTGATAATTTGATGTTATAGCGATCGTTAATAATATTCACTGGTAACTACCAGTATGCTTTGACACGGTGTCGAGTATGGGGTGTTTTGGCGCTTGTCGTAAACGTTACTTCACATTTGCTGACAGTTATCGGTTAGACTTTGCGTTACACGACACTGGCGCGTGTCATATCGAAAATAAAGGGATACTACGATTTAATGATAAAAGATCGCAAGGATGACAATATATGAGACATTCAAATTGCGAGCTCTTGCGAATGTTATTCTGACAGTGTAACTGTGATTACGTTTTGCTACGGCGATCACAATATCTTTACATCAAATTTTGGCGAACTAATCGAGAAATAAGGCATGTCATATTTTTTGAAGAGATTATTTGAAATGATGAAAATTACATTATTCGGAAAACATTAAAAAACCTGCGCGATAAAAAACTATAAAGCATTAATTTTTATTTATACGTTTAATGACACTTGTATTTAAAAAGAATGTTTGACGGGAAAGATTTCTGATGATGCGACTTATTGTCTGTTTCAGGTGGTGTTAGTTTTCATTCTCAGTATAGCATCGCTTATAATATACTTCATCGATGCCTCCAGGTGAGTAACAAGACTTCGATGGCGGTGTTATAATGCGTGGCTTTTAAGTTTATCACAAACATTCATGCATATTGTTTTTATTCTTGCGCAGTATTGGTAATATTATAACAGCACTTTGTAGCTTTTTCTTGCGGTTTAATTAAGGGCGCGGCGATAATCGCTGCTAGTTTAATCGCTGCTATTTTAGTCGCCCTTTCAGCGTTGCTTTTTTTAAGACCGAGACCTTCGCGTGAGTTCATAAGAGATGCTGACCTAACATCCGCAATCCCGTGCTTTTATGTTACAGCGAAGTGGTGGAGCGTTGCCAGAAGTGGAGCAACAACATTACTCAGCAGATAGACTTAGCTTTCAATATATTTTTTATGGTCTACTTTTTTATACGCGTAAGTAAAGATCATCCGTTCTGTCTGTCAATGAACTTTCTGGCTGGCATTAAGACCATTAAATAGAATGCAAGTTTTCTACAAAATTCTGTCACATAAAAAATATACATGTTGTTTTTTATTTCGATAAATTTCTTTAAAAGGAAAATTTACAAGAATCTCACCAAAATTTATAATATTTATGAAATATTTTAAAGTTATGAATGAATACGCTTTTTACGAGGCATTTTGACTTGCGTTTTACAGAAATTTTTTGGGAATTTTTTTTCGTGAAATATAATATTCGACTGATTTTTTATTTAAATATACGTTTTTGTTTTTCATGCGATTCCCGCAGTTTATCGCCGCCAGTGACAAGCTGTGGTTCATGTTGGAGATGTATTCGTTCGTGGACTACTTTACGATACCACCGTCCTTCGTGTCGATATATCTCGATCGGACGTGGATCGGACTGAGGTTCCTCCGAGCCCTACGACTGATGACGGTCCCTGACATCCTCCAGTACCTTAACATTCTAAAGACATCGAGCTCTATTCGTCTCGCCCAACTCGTATCCATCTTCATTTCGGTATGGTTAACCGCTGCTGGCATCATTCATTTGGTGAGTCTTATCCTCTTTTTGTGTTTAAAAAGTATTTTACTACAAATATTGAACCGGTTATCTTGAGTTTGATAATATATATAAATATATATATATATATATATATATATATATATATATATTTATATAATAATATATAATAATTATAATAAAATAACAATAAGGTTATTATCTTAATATTTAACATCTTGTCTCTTATAATTTCTATGATTTGTATATTCTCAATAAGAAGAATATAATCTTACATTACTACTCGATAATGACTATGACTATGAATATGTATTTCTCACAACTCTCCCTCACATTTCCCAGGACGCCATATGCCCAGAAATCCGAGAGCTTCGTTTCTTGAACATTCCGCGTTTATACCATTGCGCAGTAGTAAAAGCTTATGGTTATAACCCTACCAAATATAAACCGCAATTTCACTCTTGACACCACGCGAGGACGATTCTAAACGTAATAACATTGTGCCCGCAGCTTGAAAACTCAGGGGATCCTTTCGAGTTCACGAACCCACAACAGCTTTCATACTGGACCTGTGTGTACTTTCTGATCGTGACGATGTCCACGGTAGGATATGGCGACGTTTACTGCCAGACGGTCCTCGGCCGCACATTCCTAGTATTTTTTCTACTCGTCGGTTTGGTAAGTTATTCCTGTGTATTCTTCTCAAACAAAATCGAGTCACATTAACGTTTACGTACGTCGGTTAAAGAGCCTTCTATACCGCGTATAACATGCCCCTCGAGTGGCATGATTCTCAAAAACGCGTTTCCATTTTTTACACTGTCGGTGAATGATTTTTTTTAAATCTTAATTCGGTTGCTCCATAGATAATCGCAGTTGCATTTTTATGGCAGAACGAAACCACTTCGTGGATATATGCATTATTAAACTCTCTGCCACTGTGGTTATAATTTAAGAAATGCATAATTTTACATAAAGTGTGTAAATAAATAAATCTTTGTTCTCGTAAAAATGATTAAATTAAATTTACTGCGTTTTTTATGGATTTCTTTTTTTATGATAAATAAACATGCGAGCTTTGCGAAATGTCTTTTTTTCTTTATCGAATTGATCCCTGTAAATATACAGTAAACATACAATGCGAAGAAAAGTCGAAAACTTGTAAAACTACATACGAAACTCTTTTGTCATATCGGTCCGGGATATTCCTTTTTTTTCTTTCTTATCGACTTTGTGTGCATCCGAAGAGCTTTTTCGCTTGACTTGTCTTTCCGCCAAGTCTTCGCCGCGATCGCGCATATCTTCATCTCTTATCCCGAGAAATCTCGAAGTATCGCCGCAGAGCATTCCGCTTGCTACTTGGCGTTTCGCATAGCTCGTTTCGTCTGGAGCTCCGTTAGTTTTGCCAAGGCTCGTATATCAGAGCGGAACGATCGGCGAGACGAGCGGCCTCAAATTTACGTGTCCCCCGAGTCGCGAGACGGTGAATACTTTCGAGTGTACGGTGTTCTCCGGCCGTTGATCCTCCTGCATCGCGCTAGCACCGGGAAACAATTCACGGTGGTATTCAGTAGGAAATTGTTTATAATGTGTTGCGAAATTTTTTATTACGTCACTTAAATCTCATATCTTGCGATATCTTAGGTTCGGCATTGAAAGTTATTAAAAATATAAAAGATACGTGAGCTTTCCAGATGAAAACTCCTTTGCTTTCGATCGTTGATACAATCGTGACGTTTTTAGATCAGCCAAATTTTTACGCCTTGAAAACATTTTGAAAGTATTTTTCTTGTCGACGGTCTATATGCAGACTTTGTTTTACCAGTAAACATTAATGTAACTTCGCTGGTTCATGCGTATCCAAGAGATAAAGCTTGAACGATAAGTATGTTTTCTGAATAGACATACATATTTGGAACTTTTATCGCAAATTTACCCCACTTCTTGAACTTTCTGGCTTCGCAACTCGAGACAAAGGGAAACGTGGTTGTAGCACTATTGAAATAAAATTTCCGTCGATGTCACGCGAAAATGGCTTTTTGGGGCAGAAATCAACGGTGGAGAACGGTGCCGCTCGTTATACCGAATCGATCGATTCGTTTGAACGTCGATGCGCGCATTGCCGCGAGCATGCCTTTCATGCGTACTTATTATGCGTATGTTTGTGTGCGGCTTATCGATTCATGTGAACTTTGCGCACATACAAGGTCGGGAATAACAGCCTGTTCTTGAAATTCTTTGAAGACGCAAATCGCATTTTTTTTCCTCCAAAACGCGAGCATCGCCGTTCAAACGTCCGTCGAAAATCCAAGCTAATGTTTGTTGTCCGCAGCTCACCGTAGAATATTAATAGATAATATTAATTGATTATCGAGTTAAAGAGTATATCCTGAAAGTACGGTTGTTTGACATACATGAAATTCTGATACAGAATTGATTTGCTCGCGCATAAGGGCTTAAGTCGTTTCACGTGGAATGAGTTCCTTTTACTTTTTACAAAACAATTCGCTAATGTGATATGTCCTAAATGGGTAATTGTATTTTAATTACTTTATTTGTTTTCGAGTGAAGAAAATATGATATGTAATTATACAATATATTTTGCTCCTTAGTTTGCAATTGGCGGTTATTCAATTAGACACACTTCATCAATATATCAGAGATTGAAAAATTAAAGTTAAAGAAACTGTTGCGAATTAAGCCTTTATAGCGGTATGACGACGAACGTAAAGAGACTAATTTAACTCAAGAGTTTTACTTCTTTTCTTGAATATCGCTCAAAATTTGTTTAAAACGTGTTCCCTATTTCCTGTAACTTATATATGTATGTACATTGAAAACGCAGAAAAAATTCCTATTATCATATGAAGTTCGTGGTAACTTGGACAAGTTTGATTTGAAATGTTAGCTATGACAGTAGAGACGAGAAGACAAAGATATCGGGTACCTCAGCCTTATGCCTCAATATCCATTATATCACATTTTTATTGGAACTTCCAAAATGTGTTAGGATAAATTATTTCTATCAAAACAAAAATATTACATTTAACGGTCAATACCTTTTTTTCTGGCAACTTGCACACAATCAGGGTTTAAAGCACCATAGAAAAATCTTTTATCTTCAACATTAAATATAATTCCATTTGTGCTTCCGTAATCTGATTTAAATTTTCTTGAGGAAAAACTATTCGAAGCACTCTGCATTATTAATGAGCATAGAATTATTAAGAGCGGAACCTCAATATATAAAAATCACGATGGATTTCGCTAGCAAGTGTGTGAGAGATTTTCACACATTTATATTTTATAATTAAAAGATAAGGCTTCTAATAAAATAGTAATAATAATAATAGATTATCAGAATACATAGAGAGCGTTTTCAAATAATAAAATTTTGTATATGTAGAATTATTTAAAACATTTCTATCTACACGTTATAATCGAGCGATTTTATGAACATAACGACTTGACGACTATAAAAGACGTAATAGCCGATATAAGATAGATTATTCATTCCTTTAGATTAGAGCAATAATTTCTTCCAATATTATTCGAGTTTTTGACGCAAAAATTTCAATTTTTGTGTGTTACCACTTTTAACAATATTTTAATCAAGATAAACGATTAATAAACAGACACAATTTCTAAAAACGCAGCTGAGGCATTTAGCATTTAGTCAAAACATTTCGCTTACATCGAATCGTGTTTCGCATCAGATTAATTTGCTATATTTGCGAACGCTCGAGCCTCCCGATTCCGGTGTTACGTGAGATGATGAAAGAAATAATTGCGGCCATGCGTATTTGTACGACACATCGTAGTTATTGAAAGCATATACTACTTATTCTCTCTTTCTCTCTCTCTCTCTCTTTCTTTTCTTCTTTCTCTATCTCTATCTATCTTTCTCTCTACCTTACGGCTTAAATTGGTTCTACGAGTTTTGCTACAGCCACTGTCTATATCTTTTCTCTTCGATCTAAAAGTCATTTGTAGCTAATAATGCGGCGAATCGATTACTCGGGTACGATCGATTCGGCTTGTCATGCGAATGCTGCGGCATAATGCTACGAACTTATTTTTTCACAATGTTAGCGAGTATTGAAAGTACTTTTATTACATGAGAAGCCTCGAAACTTGAAACTATGGAATTCTATCGGAAATCCCGTTTTATACTATTGAAGTGCACGGATAAAACTCACGAACAATTTACAAGAGCTCTTATTACAAGAGAAAAGTTACTGAAAAGCTACATAAATATTTTAATGCTTAATTTTTTATGTTTGTGTGTAATGTAAAAATTGAATAAACCCAGTTTCGTAATTATACTAATTATTTTATAATTGAGACTTAAAAAAGTTACTTTTACTCATTAAAAAAGGAATAGAGTAAAAATTTTGAGATTAATTCATTTTTTATGACGTAATATGACAATGTTTGGTTAGATGAGTATCTGATTTGAAAAGAATGAAAAGTTTAAGATAACAAAAAAAAATTCACAGAAGTAACACAAGAAACATGATTAACTTGTTCTTGCTCCACGGTCAAAGATTCGAGGTACTCATTACTATCATATAAATCTTTTTATATCAACCTTATCGTATCTCTCTCGAAGAGCACGAGGCTCAGTGGCTTCGACAAAGTATTGGTGTCTGTACGCGCTTGATCTTTAACTGTCCACATTCTGTCTGTATGTGTATTTTCTGCGACGCTGATACGCTGCTCATATTACGACGGAAGATATTATTCTGACCGCTTGAACTTTATTTTATTTTTTTGGAATTGTCGGCCGTATGGTACTCTCAGTAGTAAATTCCAATTACGATGAGATATCAAGGGTGAACGCGAGACTTAATCAAAGCAATGTTTATCCGTTTCGATATTACTGGAACGTTCACTTCGTTTTCGCTCCCACAATCGATAAAGAGCGATAGCTGCACACACAAGTAATATAGTTTTATTGTATTATAGGACAGGAGATGCCACTTTGTCTTTCTATCGATTTTAAATGGCGCGTTGTAAACTTTGTTAGAGAACAGAGATGGAACTTCTCGAGATGGAGTATCCGCACGATTTACTTCAAAACTTTCCCTCGAATTGGCAGATTAGCGATAATGAAAAAATTGAGTTGAATCGTCTTTACAGAATACAAACGGAACAAAATTTATGTCCTTTTCCCATCAAATATCTTAAATTATTTAGGTATACGAATAAATAATTAATGTAAGGCTTAATTCTCAATCCGACAAACTTACACATTTTACTATTTATAATTAAAATAAATTAAATTAAAGATTATCCTTTATTATTAATTTACAAAGTAATTTTATAAAACACTTAAATATTATAGCTTGTATTTATTAATTATGTAACTTTGAATGAAGTTATGCGTCATTATTATTTCAGATACAATCGAATTTACTTACATTTTTTATTCACATTTATTTCATTAAATTCCTCAATAAATCATTAATCTATATTACATGTATATAAGTTTCTGTTTACTACGCATTTTATATCTGGATATAAAAATTAATATTTTGTACATTTATTATCTATTATTAGAAATATATCGAGTGTGTTGGAGAATATGTGGTATGTCCTGTCCATTATATTTTCGTGTATTGCACCGAGAGGTTTGTAACCGAATCGTTGGTCTGTTGATTAGTCAGCTGGGAGTGAAAAATCATGTCCTTGTAACACATTTAAAGGGGAAGGTTCTTTTGGAACGCTTTCAAAACGCTTTGGCACTCATTTGAAAGTGTGATACCTTGTCTCTGTGTCCCGCGACGGGCGAGGAACCCTTTTAACCGAACTCGGTATAATATTCCGAGAGACACGAGCGGTAATAAATCCGAAATTAGACAACGCGCGGTCGTAAATTAAACCAACTGAGGCAAGCTTAAAAGATCGATAGACTCCCGGTTCATTGCGAGTTCGGGCCCGGTCGCGAGTACCTAAAAGTAACACAGAAATGAAGTTGCGCATTGTCTCCGATTGCATAAAGGGATGAAAAGAAAAGACTATACTTTTTAGGATTACAAAGGAAAAGAACTAGATTTTATAGTCATACATATACACACGTTTAATGTTAGCCTTAAAATAAATTAAAGTTTTTATATATATATATTCAAATAATATTTTTTATGTATTGTGTATTGCTAATATATTCATATTGTGTATTGCTGATCCATTTATCAGCATAAAAAACAGCTTTTGATGAGAACAATTATGTGATACGGTTATTTGAACTAATCGTATTGAGTATCCTTGTTTTAAAATTTATAAATGTGGTTTTCATATGATAGAGAATTATCGCAAATGGTACATGCATATTCTAATTTACGGTCAATCCAACATAATTTTATACTAGAATCATATGATAGAGAATTATCGCAAATGGTACATGCATATTCTAATTTACGGTCAATCCAACATAATTTTATACTAGAATGATGTATCAAATGAGCGATGCATTCAAATGCATCCATACAGAATTTTGCTCATAAATGCTGGGTCATCAAATTAATTTATTCACACGGTTTGCGTTATAGTATCATTACAAATATCCGTTTATAACAGCCGTTCGGTTACAAACCCTTTTGCAAATAGATTCTTATTTGCAAGGCTCGTGCAAGTGAGAGTTAAATTTTTATTTTCAAGTACAATAATCTCTGTCTTTCTCTTTCAGAATAATCTATTATTGAAATACTGATCTACAACTATTCGCGGACATTATTTATTACAATTCGTGGGATTGTGCGTTAATATACTGTTTGCTAAATTTCAGAATATGTGATATTTTCGCTAAGTACCTATCACTGAAGTTCTGAGCTCCGGGTACGCGACTTCTCGTCACTTCGCCGCGTATACTTGACGTACGGCGAAGTGATCGTCGGTCGTACAATTCGCTGCTTCGCCATGCTACTTTACAGGATATTTATCCCTGGCTGTTTCTTGAGAGCGTACATCATGTCGAGCGCAAAGTGTCGACACACTTCTCTCTCGCTGTTCTGTCTCTTACGATGATTTCGTTGATCGCAGTGTCTTTAGTTGCCTGGTATCTATAAAGCTCGCGACGCAAACAATCGCGGATCTCTTTCAACGCCTATATTAAATGGCAAATTACGTGGCGTGACACGACACGGCACGACTTTATTGATCGTTTTATGATGGATCATATCTTTCTCATAGCACCCGGCATTATAGATGATTTACATAATAGCGCTTCCTTCATTTTACACGCGCACGAAGCAAGATCGATTTGTTAAATTTCCTTTCTGCTTCCGTTCATTAAAACTGTTTGCATCTTTCACATACTTCTGCTTTTTAATTTTTAATTGTTATAAGTTATATTACTATCTTATACAATTTTTATTCTATCCGTAAACAGCTGAGTTACAAGATTGGTATTAAACATCATTATCTTATCAGATATGATGAAATAAAGGGTACAAAATAATTTAAATTTGATAAAAGATTCGCGATTTAATAAACTTCATTAGTAATCTAACAATAAATCAAATAACACAGAGTACTAGTCACACAATTTTGTTATTAAGTTATTGAATGTAAAAATTAGAAAATTTATTTATTTATTACAAATAAAAATACTGATCTTAATGTTTACGAATAGACTTCTGCTGTTTTCTGTCTTTATTATCTTTTTCTTACTATACTGTTTTTACTCATACTGTTCACACGCTTAAATATTACTATACTATACTGTAGACACGCACATATATCTACAAATAAGAACTTGAAACATACACAATGGATAATTCTATACGCGGTTGCAACAAAATCTTCGTGATGTAAGTATACCGATACATGATATAATTGTAATAAAATTTCTTTTTTGGCACAAAATAGAATTGTGATAGAAAATATTTCACTAAAATTATTGGACTTTTAAAATCGATTTTGATCTATTTTATGCTATTTTTATGTGTTGAAATGCAGCATAAAATAATTATCTATCGATATTGATTTAATACGTGTTGGTTGTTTATAATAACTGGATTAAACTTAAATCATTAACATCAGAATATAATACCAAATCATATTAAAAATTACAAATGATTTTTATACGAATCTGTGTTCCATTGTACATCATAATTATTATCTGAATTATAATTTAAATTGATGCTTTTGTGTAGAATTAACGGTTTTGCAGAATATATATTTTATGCGCAATTGCTTACGTATAAAAAGATATGTTCTAACATTTTTATTTAATATTTCGCGGATACGGTATTGTAAGAAAAAAAAAGAAAAAAAAAGCAGAATTAATTTATTTCTGTTAGAAACTGAAACTTGAGTGAGAAATTTTGCTAACATAATTACCAGCGAGGTACTTTTCACATTGTACGCTTTATTATTCATGCATCGACACGTTCCATGATATTGATATACTTAAAAGCATCGCAATTTTTGTCACTTTTTTTAAGCACACGTTTTTCAAGCACATTTTTCGAACACGAAACGTAAGAACATAAATTGTTGCCTCGTCAGTCGCATTTCTACTCTGTTTCCGCTTTTTTTTTCCATCATCCCGACGCGAAACACGCACTTAACTTACGCCATAATACGGCGCGAAAGCACTGCTGCTAGACGCAACCGTACATCAGTTGACCCAGTTTGTTTTCTCAACGATCCGTAGTCGCATAGTGTTTTCCAGTTATGATTTCTATTTGCAGGCAATTTTTGCTAGTAGCATACCCGAGATAATAGAGCTCGTAGGCAGTAGGTCCAAGTACAGCGGCGAGTTCAAGCGGGAGCATGGAAAGAGGTATTACTATCAAATTTACGTTCTACAAAACCCTCTGTCTCTTGTTCTATTAATTTTATTTTTTCTTTTCCAGTATGTCTATGTATATACTTATACTTATACTCGTAAGAATTAACGAACGTACACGCGCAAAATACATAAATCACCCACGCAGACCCACAC